GCAACGCTGCAAATTAGACCCGATTTTATTACGTTCTTGATAATGCTTTTATATGTTTCTATAATTCTACGTTTTTGTTTTTTCATTTGTCTTTATTATTTTCATATTGTAATATATTTTTAAAAGTTTTTTAATGTAATATATTTATGTTGTGTATAACTTATATAGTTTTACTTTTTATATTTCATAAGTATAACTTATATAGTTTTACTTTTTATATTTCATAAGTTTAACCCAACATTTATTATATTAAAATTTTATACTAAAAAAACACATTTACAATAACTAATTACTTTTTTTTAATCTTACGACACCTTTTAATGAGTATGTGCAATGGAGTGTCAATTTTAGTGTCAAATTATGTAGAGTGTCTTTACTTAAATTTATATTAAATTTAATCTTAAAAATTTGGTAAGACACACATTCATGGATGTCTAATGAGGGTGGTCTTAGAACTTTAGATTAATTTTGTCAGATGATTTATCAATGTGTGTGTGTGTATAGCAAAAGGCTCTAAAACCAATGCAAATAATTAGGGGAATGATTTTAGTATTATTAAATCTCTTCGTTAGGCTTAATTTCGTTAATTAAAATTTGTTTTTTAGCTTATACTCTCTTCGGTTTAAAAAATACTACTAAAGGCATGTGTGTTTGCCTTGGTTTCTTCACTGGATTTGCCACGGGAGTTTGGACGGTGAGCATAACTAACAGTCAATTTTTGGCATTTGTTTACTCCAACAGTCAATTTCCTTTCTCCACATTTTAAAGATTATTTAGATTTAATATGTCTAAGGTTTGTATCCCGATATCAAATAATGCATAAATGATCCATGTTTAGTGTTCTACGAAAGCAGAAGGATATATCCACGATTCAAAAAATTTGTTTAGCATAGATCTTAAGTATATTAAACCCAAGATTCAATATTTACACAACGGAACTTTAAAACTTGATGAAAACCTCTACTCAAAAACTAGTGGAGGACAAACTTCATATGTATTAAACATAAAACCCGTACTTCTACAATGGAACTACGAATTTTCGTAAGAAATCATCACGAACGGGAATGGAAATCGATATGAGAATCGGTCTCACAAAAAAAAAAAGTTTAAAAAGCTAAATAAGAAATTGTCTAGCTAATATAGTGCAAATAAATTCATAGTTGAAACAAGAGAAGTCACTTGTGAGATTAAATAGATGACTCAAAAGTGCAACAACAGATAAAAACTTACGAGAATGTTAAAATCAACGACTTGTAATATGTTGAATTCTATACGATTCCATATATATATTTAGATGTAAAAACTATAACCATTGAAAGCAATGGTTATATTAACTTATTACAACATATAACCATTACAAGT